GACCCACCCCGGGACCCACCCCGCGACCCACCCCGCGACCCATCCGCGACCCGCCCGCGACCCACCCCGCGACCCACCCCGCGACCCACCCCGCGACCCACCCCGCGACCCCCCCGCGGCCCACCCCGCCGCGACCCACCCCGCGACCCACCCGCGACCCACCCGCGACCCACCCCGCGACCCACCCCGAGACCCCCCGCACCCGCGACCCACCCGCGACCCACCCCGCGACCCACCCGCGACCCACCCGCGACCCACCCGCGACCCACCCGCGACCCACCCGCGACCCACCCGCGACCCACCCCGCGACCACCCGCGACCCACCTTCGACCCAAACCACGTTCAAGGTACAAACCACAATTTTCGGCGCCTGCGGCGGGCTTTTTTTGCATTCCTTCCAGGTGGAGAGCCCGCGACCCACCCCGCGACCAACTCGCGACCAACCCGCGACCCAAACCACGTTCAGGGTACAAACCATATTTTTCGGCGCCTGCGGCGGGCATCTTTTGCATTCGTTTCAGGTGGAGAGCCCGCGGCCCACCCGCGACCACGTTCAGGGTACACATAATTTTTTGTCGGCGCCTGCGGCGGGCATCTTTTGCATTCGTTCCCGGTGGAGAACCCGCGGCCCACCCGCGACCCAAACCACGTTCAGTGTACAAACCAATTTTTTCGGCGCCTGCGGCGGGCTGCTTTTGCATTCCTTCCAGGTGGAGGTGGAGAACCCGCGACCCACCCGCGACCCAAACTACGTTCACTGAACAAACCAATGCCGCACAAGCGCGGCGGCGGATTTTTGCATGCCGTCTGAGCCCGCAACGACCTTTTCAAGCCCCGCGCATCCACACCAGCCCGTCCAGCAACTTTGCCCTGGCGAGTTGCCTTGATCTGGGAAGTCGGGGAGCATAAAGTGGAACAAAGGATTGCGTTGCCGTTATCTTGGGAAAGGAGGGGGAGGCATGAGGAGTAAAAAGGGAACGAGGAGGACGCGGAAGAAGAGAAGATGTAAGGAGAATGTGGAGAAAGAGGAGGAGGAGGACGAGGAGGGGGAGGAGGGGGAGGAGGAGGACGAAGAGGGGGAGAAGGGGGAGGAGGGGGAGGAGGATGATGATGGACGACAATGGGAAGACGATGATGGAGGCCGATGAGGGGGAGGACGACAATGGGAGGACGATGATGGAAGGACGAGGGGGGGAGAGGGAGGACGAGGAAGAAGAGGAGGAGGACGAGGTGGTGGAGGAGGCGGAGGACGATGACGATGAGGACGAGGACGAGGACGAGGAAGAGGATGAGGATGAGGAGGAGGCGGAGGCGGAGGAGGAAGAGGAGGAGGAGGAGGAGGGCGCCATCGACAGGGAAGGTGGGGGCCACGAGGTCCGCCGGCTCGACGACGCCCGCGTCGCCCGCGCCCGCCCCCTCACTCTTATCCGCAATTGCGGGGTGCTACGTATTATTTGTGAAACTTTGGCGCCTGCGGCGGGCTCCTCCGGAGTCTCGCAGACTGCCGACGTCCCCACCGCCCCCTCACTCTTGTCCACATCTGCGGGGTGCTACGTACTCGCCCTCCGTCAGTGCAGTTGCCAACACAGCCGAGGCGTTGACCTAAGGAACCCTAAATAAGAAACGAGGCCCCTTTTTCCCATAAGTTTAACTTCGGTTTCCCATCGAAACCCTAAGCAAAACCAAAGGCGAACTGCAGAACAACTAGGGAACACCGAGCCCCCTCCCCAACGAAAAGGATTCCTTCCTCAGGGCCCAGACTGTATCATGAAAGAGGCCTCGGGCGAATCGCCCCGCCCGCTCTGCCGACACGTCTGGTGGTGCGACGACGAGGAATGGCTTGCAGGCGGGAGCGATGGGAGAGGCGGAGGGGGAGGAGGGCAGAGGGCGAGGCCAGCGCCGCGCTGCGGTCCACATAGCGCCACGGGCAGGCCCGCGCGGAGGAGGAGGAGGAGGCGGAGGAGGAGGAGGGAGGAGGAGGAGGAGGAGGAGGAGGAGGAGGAGGAGGAGGAGCAGGAGGTGGAGGAGGAGGAGGAGGAGGGAAAGGAGAAGAGGAAGAGGAGGAGGAGGAGGAGGAGGAGAAGGAGGCCGAGGAGGAGAAGGAGGAGAAGGAGGAGGACGAGGGGATCGAGGAACAGGAGGATCCCCTCGTCATCGCTCCCGTCCCCGCAGTCGTCCTCGCCTTTGTGGTGACCGTCGCCGCCGTCGTCGTCGCGGCGGGGGCGCCTCGCGGGCGCCCAGCGCGCTGCACGCGAGGCCAGCGAGCCCCACCCCGGCGCCGACCTCCAGCACCGCCTGCTGCCTGACGTCTGGGATGCTGGCCTGGCGGGCTGCTCCTCGTCCTCGCCCTCGACCCGGCTCCTCGTCATTTCTCCTCCCCCTCCTCCTCCTTCCCCCCTCCTCCTTCTCTTCCTGCTGCTCCTCCTCCTCCTCCTCCTCTCTCCTCCTCCTCCTCCTCTCCTCCTCCTCTCCTCCTCCTCCCCTCCACCTCCTCCTCCTCTCCTCCCTCCTCCTCCTCCTCCTCCTCTCCTCCTCCTCCACCTCCTCTCCTCCTCCTGCTCCCTCATCCTCCTCGTCCTTCTCCTCCTCCTCCTCCTCCTCCTCCTCCTCCCGCTCCTCCTCCTCCTCCTCACTCGCCGCTCATGCTCCAGGGAGGCCACGTTTTCTGTGACGGCTCTGGCGTGGATGGCCTTTTTCCTCCGCTCAGAGTTTCAGGGTGGGGGATCGCCATCTACGACCATGAGCGCAGATGGGTGGCTGGGTGGTATGGAGCTGTCCCTCCCACTCGCTGCCCAGATCAGGTCGCCTGTGACGGCGAAGACTTTGCCGTTTTTATAGCTGCCAGATTCATTGGCGGCTCGTATACCTTGTACTCTGATTGCAAGGGCACGCTTCAGTGCCTCGCTGATCCCAGGTTCGCGTGCCGTCCTAGCAATGTGCGAGCCCACCTTTGGCGCGAGACTTTCGCCCAGGGCTCGCTTGGTGAAGTCGGCTGGAAAAAGGTGGCTGCCCACTCCTCGATGGATGATGTCCGTGAGGGGCGAACCTCTGAATTCGAGAGGACGGGCAACACCCAGGCTGACAGACTTGCCAAAGCAGGTGCAGAGATGAGCAGGCATGACCAGCAGGACATAATGCTGTGCAAAGGCATGCTGTTTCTAGCTCGACAGCTCATAAAGTTCATAACCAGAGCTGAGGCTTTTACTCTGAAGATAGCCGATACGATAGTATAGGTGCCCAGGGGCTCACCTTGGTCTCACTCGAGGGCGACCCAGCGTGGGCCCAGGCCGAGGACTGGGAGAGGAAGGAGGAGGAGGAGGCTGCTGCTGCTGCTGCTGCTGCTGCTGCCAGAGCCCCGCCTCCGACCCGCCCTCAGAGCCCGCCTCAGGCCCCCTCGGAGCCCTTGGCGCCCGAATTGGCTCGTCAGGCTGCTGATGCGGCCCAGGTCAGTTGGGTCGCAGGAGGCCATCAGCTCCTGGAGTTCCCCGTGTCGGGCCAAGCTCAGGCCCCGTTGTTGTTTTGCTCCACTTGTGGAGCGTATGCGACCATTGGCGCCGGGCCTCAAAGCCCCAAGAGTGCCTGTCAGGGCTCCCAGGTAGCCTTGGTCGATCCAGGGAAGAAGAACAATAAGGCTTTTTTCAAGGGCAAGCATCCGAACCGCCCCCTCAGGCTGGGCTCCTGGGTGACTCCCGGGGTGCGTTCTTGGGAGGTGTTCGCGGGCGGCTTTCAGGAAGTTGGAGCCCAGCTGGGGGGAGAGCGGCACGTGGCTGCTCAGTTTGTTGCAGGGCCTCGTGACCTGTGCCGTGCTGACTGCCTCCAAGCTTTCGGTCTGAACGAAGGCGAAGCCAGAGAGCTGGGAGCCTTGTTGAAGGGTAAGGGCAGGATGACCTGCCCCAGGACGAAGACGGCGAGCTTTTTTCCTAGGGGGGTTCCTGTCGCTGGCCCCTGGCAGGTCTTCGGCCTTCCTGCCAGGGTGGCGAAAAGTTCCTCTCTGATGGAACCCCCCTGGGGTTTTCGGCTGACCGTCGAACTCTCTCTCTCTCTCTCTTTCTCCCCTTAGTGGCGTGCGATCCTCATCATCCTCCTCCTTCCCCCCCTCCTCCTCCTCCTCCTCCTCCTGCTCCTCCTCCTCATCCTCCTCCCACCGCCCCCCCCTCCTCCTCCTGCTCCTCCTCCTCCTCCTCCTCCTCCTCCTCCCTCCTGCTCCTCCGCTTCCTCTCCTCCTCCTCCTCCTCCTCATCCTCCTCTCTCCCTCCTCCTCCCTTCCTCCTCCTCCTCCTCCTTCTCCTCCTCTCTCCTCCTCCTCCTCCTCCTCCTCCCCTCCTCCTCCTCCTCCTCCTCCTCCCCCTCCTCCCCCTCCATCCCTTCTCCTTGCAAAAAGCTCCTCCCTGTCGCACACCGAAGCGCATCGGTAGGCCGGGCCAGGCGTTTCGCCTGAGACGTCCCTACCACTTATGACACTCAAGCTGAAACTTGCAACAGTTTCACGGGTGGGGGGGCTCCGTTTCAAAATGTGGCTCTCGCCTGGGTGCCGCGCGCACTCGTCTGAAACAGTTGCAAGAGCTTCACGGATGGAGGGCGGCTCCTTTTGAAAATGTGACTCTCGCCTGGGCGCCGCGCACATTCGTTATAAGAGCTTACAGCACATTCACGAATTCTCATGGCTAACGTCCTAGAAGCGGTGTTTTGGCACGATGTCAGAATGCCAGGGCGTAGGTAACAGTTACGTTGATTCGCGGTGTTGAAGTTCCAGGCTTGGCTCGCTGGCACAATCCAGGAGCGTCAAGACGCAATGGCAACCGTGATCCGCGACGTTGAAGTCCCAAGAATTGTGTTGCAGCGCAGTTCTGGATTTTCACAAGGTTGTCTCCAGACGGGGCACTTCCCTCAGTGAGGAAGAACCCTTGCAGGGGCCTATGAAGAGGGAGCTTGGACGGAAGGCGTATTTATCGTTGGTTGGTATTGACTGTGCACTGGCCCTCCTCCTCCTCCTCCACCACCACCAGCACCTCCTCCTCCTTCTTCTTATCATTATTATTATTACTTTTAGAATTAATACTATTATCGTGTTCTCTCTCTCTCTCGGCCTAAGGGTCATCCTGATGCGGCCGTCCCCCCAAGGCGCGGTCGCCCCTTGGGGAGGGGAGACCACACTAGATCGTCAGGTGACTCCAGGGGCGGAAGCCGCTGACGCCACCACCGGCGGGCCTCTGAATCGGCCTCGCTGCGGCCGAGGCTGCGATCGATCAGCAGCCTGGCCAGCAGCTCCGACACCGGCCACGCGGCGTAGCCGTACAGCAGGTGGTCGTCCGTGGGCGGCAGATCCTTAGCGCCACCTCCCCGCCCAGGCTTAGGTCGGGCATGTCCCCCTGCAGGCAGATCTTGGATGGGGGAACAAAAAGCCCCAAACATGCCCCAAATGGCCAGCAGGTCCCCAGACTAGTGTTTTACTAGTTCTGAATACTCCTCCTGTCGAGGGACGTGCCCGCCCAGGTCGATCCAAAGCGTGAGAGGGAGAACGAGGAGGATTGCGATGGATGGGGCGAAAAAACTGCATCAACGTAGACTGTTGGAGGTTCGCGCAGATCTTGATGGACCTGTTTTCCACCACCACCACCACCATAAGTTGGAGGAGCGAAGGAGGAGGAGGAGGAGGAGGAGGAGGAGGAGGACGAGGAGGAGGAGGAGGACGAGGAGGAGGAGGAGGAGGACGAGGAGGAGGAGGAGGCTGAGAAGGAGGAGGAGGAGGAGGAGGAGTAGAGGAGGAGGAGGAGGAGGAGGAGCGGGAGGAGGAGGAGGAGGAGGAGGAGGAGGAGGAGGAGGAGGAGGACCCCCTCCCCCTCCAACTGGTGGTGGTGGTGGAAAAGATCTCCTGGATCGGCGACGGAAGCGCGCCACAGGGGGCCCACCGCCGATCTGGGCCGGGAGGTCCGCGCGGAGCGCCGGAGAGTTTCTGCACACTTGCACCGAACTGTCCTTCGATGCTTGCCAGGGGGTCCTGGCCCAATGAAAGGGCCCAAGGACACACAAATAAACAAACACACACATAACATGATGCCCCCATACTTTTCTCTATGTGTTGGGGATTTTCGTCTTCCCCCCACGCTTCCCGTATGTCCCTGGGAATCGACGATGAACTGTGCCTGTGTGTTTTTTCCCTCCTGGCCCAAGGTGTCCCGGGACTGCCGGGAAGGCCCCCACAGCTTCCGGCGCACCCCCCCACGAGGCTCAGAGGGCCCCCATGGGGCTCCACGACTGAGCGCACAGCTCGGGACACCCAGCGCCAGGGACACCTCTAGTGAACGTTTTCTTATTCGGCGTTTTGACATTGGGCAGAAGGGATGGGGACGGAGAAAGGAGAGGCAGGATGGAGAGGAAGGGATGGAGAAGGTAGCGGAAAGATAGCGGAGCGGGAGGGAGGGAAGGGGTCGGGAAGGAAAGTGGCATCCGAAGGAAAACATGTCCACCTCTGGCACTCCTCATCCGCTTCCTCATCTCTCCCTCCTCCTCCTCCTCCTCCTCCTTCCTCCTCTTCCTTCTTTTACTTTTTTTTTACCTCCTCCTCCCTCGTCCCTCCCCTCCACTCCTTCTGCCCCTCGTCCTTCCACTGCCCCGCCCTCTCGTCCTCCTCCATCCGTGGCGAGGAGGTGCGCGCCCGATGTCCTGGCGACTGGCCGGGGCCGCCAAGTGTGTCGCCCCCCTACCCCACCCACTCGCCCCTCTCTCCGGCCCCCTCGTCGCCCTCTCGTCGTTCTCGTCGTCCTCGTGGCCACCGCCAGCGTCGCCATCGTCGACGTGATCGTGTCGTCGCTCTCATCGTTATCGTCGTCGTAGTCGCCGTTGACGCCCCTCCTCCTCCTCCTCCTCCTCCTCCTCCTCCTCCTCCTCCTCATAACCAACACTATCCTGCGTGCCCGTGCCACCTTATCCTTCCTCTTCGTCTTCTTTTACTCTTCGTCTTCGTCATCTTCTTCTTACTCCTCTTTCCACTCCTGTCCTACGCCTTTCTCCTCAACCTCGTCCTCATCTGCGGGCCACCGAACCTGGCGAAACGCCCAAGAAACCGCCGTTACAACCGCGATCGAGCCAGAGTTAAGGCCGGATCACAGTACGCGACCTCCAACCCGCGGTACTCAAACAGCCTGTGAGAATGAGGAGGAGGAGGAGGAGGAGGAGGAGGAGGAGGAGGGAAGCATACGGGTGTGGACAAGGAGGATAAGGGCGCGGAAGAGAAGGAAAAGGAGGAAGAGCAGGAAGAGGAGGAGGATCGAGGAGGGGGAGTGAGGGGGGGCGGGGGAAATGTGAAAACGATTATGAGGAGGGGAAGGGGAGGAGGGAAGTTGGGGGAAGGGGGCACGATGACGAGAAGAGGGAGGGCGGAGGGATGGGGCAGGGAAGGGAGAACGGTTACGCTTGGAATCCCCTAAAGCAGAAACCGCCCTCAAAAAGAAAAGCAAACACACAACCACACAACAACATATTGCGCAACAACTAGCAATGCACCGTCGTGACCTTGAAGACATGACATATCGATGACAAGACCAGTCAACACATGTGCGATTAACCTCGCAAATGACGAACGGTTTGGGCAAACATGGCGCACGCCGCGCGCACAAGTGTACCTTCGCAAAGTATGGGATCTCGTATACTGCGTTGATTGCTCACGCTCAAGATGCGACCGTGAATCTGGGGCCTCGATCAGGCGGAGGGGGATTGTAACAACGATGCGAAGCAGGGAGGGAGGACGACGAGGAGGAGGAGATGGTGAAAGAGGAGGAGAAGGACACAGTGGGTTGGAAGAAGGAAAGTGGGGGAAACGGCGGAGGAAGAAGAAGGAAGAGAAGAGGGGCGCATACATAACTGCAGAGCGAACAACTTAACACGTAGTCATACCGAGCTGACGCTGTCGTCGTCCTGAGCATGTTGTTGTTACGCTGTTTGTTGGCGCAGACCACATTGTGCTTTCATCGAGAAGCATTGAGCGAACACATGAATGCAAATTGTTGCCTAGTTGTTTGTGATGTGTGTCGTGTTGCGTGTTTGCTTGGCTCGTTTTGCGGCTTCCCTGCGGCGCTAGTTGTTTCACTTTTTGTCGCGGTTTTGTTGCAGCGCTTTTCGTCTTGCGAATCTCGATGAAGGTAAAACGTACATGGTAGGGACGCGGAACGAGTGAGAGAGAGAGAGAGAGAGCGGGCGCGCGCGCGTGCTGAGGGCATTAGAAATTATCCTGGCGAAAAACCCAACCATATGCAGTTGTGAGTGCCGCAATTGTGAGTACCTTCTTCGGTGGCGCTCCCTATGGGGCCACGAACCGCATGAGGGGCATGCCGAAATATGGCGGGGTACACAACGCAGAGGAATACGATAGGTCAGATTACGAAAGAATGAACGCGGGTGAGCCAGAGCGCGAGAGTCTGAGTGTGAATGGGTTTGCGTGGGAGTGAGTATATTTGCATGAATGCGATCTTGGCTACGCCTAGTGTAAATGTATATGAATGTGAATGGCTCGAGCATGCCTGTCCGAACACTTGTGACACTGGGCGTGGCCGCCGCAGGCAGCTTCCGCGGGAACCCCGACGGCAGCGCCCGCGCGCCGCGACGCCCATGTCGGCACGCCCCTCACGGGGATCGCACCCGCTTCCGTCCCTTCTTTTCCCCCCTCTTTGCCTGCGCGCTCCAAAAATCCAAAGCTGCGGGCGCAGAGCAGCGCGGAGTCCCCGCGACGCGCGCAGGTCGCCGCGGAGGGGTCCCAGCGACGCGCGCAGGTCGTCCGCTGCGCGGAGCACAGAGAGCTAGCCGGCCGGCTGATTGCGGGCAAGGCTCCGGCCGCTGGGCAGAGCGACGACGGGCGAGCGAGGCGCTGAGCAGAGCGCCGCGCGGAATCCCCGCGACGCGCGCTGGTCGCCCCGAGAGGGTCCCAGCGACGCGCGCGGGTCGTCCGCGGCGCGAGGCCGAACAATTATGCGGGCAGTCGAGAGAAGGCGCGGCTCGGGGGGGGCGCTCCTCAGGTCAGGCCTCGCGGATAAACTCGGTGAAGCCGAGCTCCCTGGCGAGGGCCGTCGCCTCCCTCCTGCACCGCTTCGTGCGCGCTGCAAACTGCTCCAGCTGCTTTCGCAGGCCCTCCGGCGGTCCTGCCAGGAAGAACTCGATGCGCGGCGCCCGCATGAGCAGGAGGTCCTCGTGGCGCGTGGCGCGCGAGAGCAGCGCATAGAGCTCCAGCCACCAGTCGTCGTCCTCCTTCTTGCCGTTCCCGACCTCGTGGCGGCCGCAGTCCAGGATCACACCTGGGCGACTCGGCCGAGGGAGAAGTGCGCCGGGCAGCCGACGGCCCAGGGCGAGAGTCCACAGGGCCGAGGTCTGGCCGCGGACTGCTCGCGCCCCGGAGGTCTGGCCGTCCCTGGAGCGCCGTTCCCCCGCCCCGTCGCCTTCGCGCATGGTGCGCCCCTGGCACGCCACCGTGGTGATGACCCTGACCGTGCAAGAACGGGAAGCCCGTCCGCGTGACCTTGGAGGTGCGGAAGGTGAACGGCTCCGACGTGCGGGGCTCGATGAACACCAGCGGGCCCGCGAGGTCCCCCGTGAGGCTGTCGTCGCGGCGCTTGAGGTCGTCCACGAAACGTGTGAGGGGTGTGCCAAAAAGGGGCGGTGGCGCCATGCGAGCAGCGCCACTTGGACCTCAGGTGGAGCTCCCTGAGGGGCCACGAAATCTGTGAGGGGTGTGCCAAAATTGGGCGGTGGCGCCATGCGAGCTGCGCCACTTGGACCGTAAATGGAGCTCCCTATGGGGCCACGAAATGTGTGAGGGGTGTGCCAAAAAGGGGCGGTGGCGCCATGCGAGCTGCGCCACTTGGACCTCAGGTGGAGCTCCCTGAGGGGCCACGAAATCTGTGAGGGGTGTGCCAAAATGGGGCGGTGGCGCCATGCGAGCTGCGCCACTTGGACCGTAGATGGAGCTCCCTATGGGGCCACGAAACGTGTGAGGGGTGTGCCAAAATGGGGCGGTGGCGCCATGCGAGCTGCGCCACTTGGACCTTAGGTGGAGCTCCCTATGGGGCCACGAAACGTGTGAGGGGTGTGCCAAAATGGGGCGGTGGCGCCATGCGAGCTGCGCCACTTGGACCTTAGGTGGAGCTCCCTATGGGGCCACGAAACGTGTGAGGGGTGTGCCAAAATGGGTGTGCGGGACGCATGCGGGCACACCCACTGGGACCTTCGGTGGAGCTCCGTATGGGGCCACGAAACGTGCGATGATGGCGACGAGGACAACGATGATGGTGATGACGATGAGGATGATAGGAGGGGAGAGGAGGCGGAGGAGGAGGAGAGGAAGGAGACGCGGGGCACCGTCTCTTCAAAACGAGGACCCAACACCACAGGATGGTTGGGAAATATACTCCCCGGACCTCTCCCGGGGAGCGTTCTGACCAGAATTTCGAAGCGCGTCCAGCGGTGGTGACGAGGGCTCCCAGGAGGCCCCAAACGACGAATACGAGGCAGCGGAATCAGAACCCTGTTGGTGCCTGGGCATGTTAGAACTCCACACCCCCTCCCCGCGTCCGGCCTTCGAAAACCGCTCCCCAATATCTGGGAACCTCCATTGGGAACTTCCCCAAATGAACTTCTACTTCGATCTTGGATACGTTCCATCGGAAGCTTTCCAAAACAGAAAATGCTGTTTGGAGAGGCTCTGGCCGAGGTTGGCAAAAACAATCAACAACATCCCAGAGAGCCCCAAACAGCCGAAACAGCAACAAAGATGCCGTAAGACAGTCCAAACCAGCAAACAACCTCACCAAAACAGCCGAGCTCGCCCCAAGACGATATAGAATGGCCTCCAAGGCATTCCCAAGACTGCCCAAGAAGGCCTCCAGATTCTTCAAGGGAGCCACAAGGTGGCCTATGAGGCCCTCAAGACGTCCAACGAGGGCTTCAAGTGCACGCGCAAGAGGCCTCCAAGAGCTAACAAGCACTGATGTTCCTTCGGTGTTCGGCCGTTTGAAACATACTTGACTCTTCTGGCTCCCGACAGCCCAAGATTGCCAAGAGAAGTTCCGAAGGCTCCAGCCCAAGCGGGCCCCAAGACGGCACAAGAGGCCCCCAAGACGGCACACGAGGCCCTCAAGAAGGCCCCAGAGAGCCCTAAGACTACCCAAGATACCACCATGATGACCCACAAACGCCCCAAGAGGACCTCAAGACGGCCCAGAAAGGCTCCCAAGACGGCCTCCAAAGGAGTCAGACGGGCCAGGAACGCCCTAAGACGGCCCAAGCGGCATCCAAGACGCCCCAAAGAGGCCCTCCAGGATGCTTCCGAGAGGCCTCTCAGAGGTCCACAATAGTCGGGGGACGAGGTCGAGTGCAAGACCGACGCGAGGTGAGACCGCGCACTGAATTGCAGTGGGTCGTCGACTCAACCTCATTCACGCTGCGCTGTCACGGTGGCGGGGCTTGCCGCAAGCAGGTGGCTAGAGATAGCGCCAAGAGACGCGGCGTGGACTGCGCGCACTATGATGGCCCGCGAAGCCCACATCGGTTAGCTACCCCTGGCTGAAGAACGCAGTGCCGCGCGCGCAGATGAAACGTCGACCGCCATCTCCCCGTCTCGAATTCGTCGAGCGCACGCCCGAATGCGTCGCAGACGTGTTGCGTCACATCCTGCCGCGTGCGTCTACCACCTCGCTATCGATGTATGCTGCTATGTGAAACACTTGCCGCTCCTCACGAAGGTTTGTGAAGGGAGCTCTGTTGCTTTCGGGGAGCGACACCTTTGACGCAGCGGGAGAGATGGCAAGGAAAGAGGAAGCCCCCGAACCTCGCTATCGATGCATGCTGCTATGAAAACACTTGCCGCTCCTCACGAAGGTTTGTGAAGGGAGCTCTGTTGTCTCGGAGAGCGACACCCTTGACGCAGCGGGAGAGACGGCAAGGAAAGAGGAAGCCTCCGAACCTCGCTATCGATACATGCTGCTATGAAAAACAATTGCCGCTCTTCACGTAGGTTTGTGAAGGAAGCTCTGTTGGTTCCAGGGAGCAACACCCTTGACGCAGCGGGAGAGACGGCAAGGAAAGAGGAAGTCCCCCGAGCCTCGGTTACGATGTATGCTGCTATGCAACACACTTGCCGCTCTTCACGTAGGTTTGTGAAGGGAGCTCTGTTGTTCTTGGGGAGCGACACCCCTGACGCAGCGGGAGAGACGGCAAGGAAAAACATCTCCCCGAACCTCGGGTACGATGTATGCTGCTATGTAAAGCACTTGCCGCTCCTCACGAAGGTTTGTGAAGGGAGCTCTGTTGTTTGTGGGGAGCGACACCCTTGACGCAGCGGGAGAGACGGCAAGGAAAGAGCACCCCCCCCGAACCTCGGTTACGATGTATGCTGCCATGCAAAACACCTTCGGCTCTTCACGCAAGTTTGCGAAGGGAGCTCTGTTGTTTTCGGGGAGCGACACCCTTGACGCAGCGGGAGAGACGGCAAGGAAAAAGCACCCCCCCCGAACCTCGGTTGCGATGTACGCTGCCATGCAGAACACCTTCGGCCCTTCACGCAAGTTTGCGAACGGAGCCTTGCTGCTTTCGGGGAGCGACATCTTCGGCTACACGCAAGAGTGACCCTGGGTAAGAGTGACCTTTGGTGCGCGTCTTTTGGGGGGCCGCGGGGGGACCAAACTCAGGCGCGCAAGACGCTACCATCGCATCGTGATCGGTGATCGGGGGACCCCCTTGTGCCCGCACCAAAGGTCACTCCGGCGAAAGGTCACTCTTACGTGTAGTCGGCATCTCTGACGCAGCGGGGGCGCCGGCAGGGAACGAGGAAGCCCCCGAGCATCCTCCGCTGTGCGGCGCCCTCCATCGCCGCCCTGCGGCCGCGCGGCCTGTCCGCCCCGCCACTGCGCCCTGGGCGCCCTCGAGCCGGGGGCGCCGACAGGGGGCGACGGGGTGGGGGGGGGAGTTCCTCCTCCTCCTCCTCCCCCCCCTCCTCCCCGCGCGCCCAGAAGGTCAGCGCTGACCTTCTGCCTCCTCCTCCGTCTCCTCCTCCTCCTGCTCCTCCTCCTCGCCCCTGCTCTTCCTCCCTTCCTCTCCCCCTCCTCCCTCTGGGGTCGGCTGGGGTAGGGTGCGGTGGAACCGCCGCTTCATCGGCAAGGCTGCTGGCTGAGCCAGGGGGTCAATTGCTGGCTGATGCGGCACCCGTGCTTTCGTGCACCCCGAAGCGAATAAGTGTCCCCCCCGTCGGGCGCACGCTAACATGGATTAGTGACCCGAGGATCTGGTGCGTGGGCGCCAGATCCATGCATCGGAGAAGGCACCCCCGACATACGAGGCCAATGCCGCTGCATTTGGCGACAACCCGCGCCGATGTTGCCTGGAAACGGGACCCGTCGCTAATCCACGCGCCTGAATCCGTGTTAGCCTTCCCTCGGCCCCCTCCTCCTGGCAGGGCCTCCCTCCCCACGAGCAACTCTTAGGTCGGGCATGTCCCCCTACAGGCGGATCTTGGACGAGAGAGCAAGAATACCCAAACAAACACTAGAACACAGCCAAACAGAGCCGCAAAATCCTCCCCAGACCATTTCTCTTCACTATTTCTGAATCTCCCTCCTGCCGAGGGGCATGCCCGACTTCATGCTAGCGCTCCCTCGGCCCCCTCCTCCTGGCAGGGCCTCCCTCCCCGCGAGCCGCTCCCCGCCGCGCCACGGGACTCGCCGTCGGGGCTGGCCCGGCGTGCCGCACCGGCGCTCTCCTCCGCCTCCCGACGGCCCCCGCGGCTCGAGGTTTCCCCAGCTGCCGCACGCGGCCGGCAACGGCAAAAAAAACGGCGACCGGAAACGGCAAAAAAAACGGCTCCAGGATTGGAATCGGAACTGGAACCAGCGCACCGCTGATCGGGGGGACGAGAGGGCAGGATAGGCAAAGGGCAGGGTAGAGAGAGTCAGCTCACGCAGCTGGCCTTCCTGGCGCCTCCTGGCGCCGGGAGGCGCCCGCTGCATCGAGGAGTGGCCCCAGCGGCGGGGCGGAGGCCAGCTGCAGGCAGCAGAGTTCGCACCCCCCCCCCCTTTCCCTATCCCCCCCTTTCGTTCGGCCCGAGTTTCACCGATCCCCGTCCCCATCCCGACCGATCCCCGCCCTCCCAACACCCCGGTTGGGGATAGACCCCTCGAAGCTCGACGGGAGCAGCTTGTGTCCCCCTCTGGGGGAAGGGGGGGGAAGTCGGCCAGCGCGGCCCAGGCCACGCCCTGGGGACAGGGCTCGCTTAATAGGGGGCCACATGCGAACCCTACCCCTACCCCCCCCACGATTTCTGAGGGGGAGGGTGGGGTTCACTTCGCTCGGGAGCTCCCGAACGAAGTGAACCCCACCCTCACCCTCAGAAATCGTGGGGGGTAGGGGTAGGGTTCGCATGTGGCCCCCTACTTAAACGATGCTCAGAGACTTCTGCATTCTGGCGCAATTTGGGGAGGAGGAGAGAAGCGGAGGGGACGAAGCGGACGGAACCGCAAGCGAGCACGGGAGGAGGGGCAGGAAGAGGAACAGTTAGAGGAAGAACAAAAAGCAGAAGCATAAACTTTCGACAGTCCACGCGGATTTCTTGGATCTGCGCTGGGCCCCCCCTCCCTGGCGCGCTCCGCGCGCCAGGGGCGGCGCCGGAGGCGACGCCAGGGGGCCCCAACGCAGATCCGAGAAATCCGCGCGGAGCGTCGAAAGTTTATGTTTATGTGTTTTTTCTTCTTCGAGAACAGGATTAGGTCGGGCGTGTCCACCTACAGGCGGGTTTTGGACGAAACATACAAAATACCTAACACATATTCAAAAAGATGCAACAAACAATCAAAAGCTCGTCCCCAGACTATGCCTTGAGTGTGTTTGACTCCTCCTGCTCCTCCTCCTGTCGAGGGGCAGGCCCGCGTCAGGAGCAGGAGGAGGGCGGAGGAACACGAGGCTCCAAGCCGTGGCTCTCGCCTCTCGCACCCGAGGGAGGAGGAGGAGGAGGAGGAGGAGGAGGAGGAGGAGGAGGAGGAGGAGGAGGAGGAGGAGGAGGAGGGAGGAGGAGGAGGAGGAGGAGGAGGGAGGAGGAGGAGGAGGAGGAGGAAGGAGGAGGAGGAAGAGCGGCGCCGCGCACGTCGTCTCCCGGAGCTCCCTGGCGGCTCCGCGGAGGGCGGGCGGACCCTCCCGCTGCTCCCTGCGGCATGCTCGCGCGTCCGGCACGTCCTTCGCCTCCTGCGCCCCCTCCTCGAGCAGGGGGATATCGACTGCAGCACTGCTTCACTGGCCATCGCTCGGACGTCCATTTCCCTGCGTTTTTCTCGGTTTCGTGCTTGTTTTTTTCGCCAACTGGTCAAGGATGCTTCTCGATGGTCCTCGCCGAAGGAAAAAGTGCACACGTCCGAGCGATGCCAGGTTCACCCCAGGAAGAGTCGCCGACTTTACGAACGATAGATAGAGCGCTCGGCACTTCTACGGAGCCTTCTGCGCATTTCTTCGCAGCGCCGGCAAAAAGGAAATTCATGGGCACATCACTTCTGCAGTCGTCGATGCCCTACTCGACTCCTCGCTCCTCTCCCTCACCGCGCGCGCGGGGAAGGGGGGGCGGCGGGGGAGGAGGGAGAGACGAGCGAGGAGGGATGGCGGAGGACGGGAGGCGCAGTCAAAAGCAAGTCGTCGTGACGATGAGTGGGCTTCGCCAGAGGCCATCGCATCCTCCGTTGGACGCCGTTGCATCCTCCTCAACTTCTGTGTCCTCCTCCTCCTCCTCGTCCTCGTCCTCGTCCTCCTCCTCCTCCTCCTCCTCCTCCTCCTCCTCCTCCTCCTCCTCCTCCTCCTCCTCCTCCTCCTTCGCTCAAGAACCGCTCTGGCTCGGGCGCGGGACCCGCCCGCCTTCGTGCCAGCACCGAGCGTCCGCGACGCGTTCTTGGTGACGGGAGAGTCGCCGCGGCAGCCCGCCGAGTCTCTCCCCGACGAATTCGGTGCGAATCATGGGGCGCAGCAAGCCAGCTGCGCGATCTCCTGCCCCGCGCAGCCCAAGGGCAGGAGGCGGAGGCAGCTCCCAGCAGAGGAAGATGGCCTTCATCGATGACTGGACCCGCTGCTCCGCCTGCAAGAAGTGGATGTGGAATGAGACCTGGGGCGAGGCGCACTGGAAGTGCAGCTGTGGCGCGCAGGTCGAGCCCTTCCGCCGCCGCGAGGCCAGCCGCCCGCCCTCTCGCAGGCCGGCGCGGCCGCCGCGGGGCGGGGTAGGCCAGTGCCCCTGGCATCAGGGCGGAGGCGGCAGCAGCGAGACGAGCTCCAACGGCTCGGACTTCACGTCCTTCCTGGCGCAGCTGGCCGAGAAGGTCAGCACCTCTCCGCAGGCGGACGAGGCGAAGGCGGCCATCAAGCTGGTCCAGCAGCTGGCGGAGCCGCCGCCGTCCGCGGCCCCTGCTGAGGCGATGAAGCCCCCCGACGAAGTCTTCCGCAAGGCGTCGGGTCTCCACAAGGAAGCAGCCCGCCGCCACCAAGGTTCGGTCGACGCGGTGCTTCGCCTCGAGGAGCAGCTGCGAGCTGCCCGCGTCAAGGAGGGTGAGCTCGCGCTCCTCCTTGCGGGGGCCGACCGTGCCAAGGCTGTCGCTGCTGCAGCCATGGCCCGCCACGCGGCGGAGGTGGCGAGGGCGACGGGCGTCTCGGACGAACTCTTCCATCTCTCCTGGGACCCCGACGTGTTCACCAACTTCGAGGGTCTTTCGCCCACGGAGCAGGGCGAGTTGCAGAACCTTGAGAAGTCCCTCGTCGCCACCAAGGTTGAGCTGGCCGCCAAGGCCAAGCAGGTGCGGGACAAGCTCGCCTCGTCCAGAGCAGCGCTGGTCCGCACGCGTGGCAGCAGCAGGAAGCGCCGCACTGGCTCTCCTTCGGCACTTCGTGAGGAGGGAGGTGGCGCTGAGGACGAGGAGATGGCCGACGTCGGCAGCGACCGCAGCCCGCCGCCTGGCGGCGACGGAGGCGACGCTGAGCTGGCGGCAGCGGCCAAGATGCTCAGTGCCGCCAAGTTTGCAGCCTCGCGTGCAGCGCGCGCAGCAGCAGCAGCAGCTGGGGCGACCGCCGCAGCGGGGCCCCCCGTGCCCCCGTCGAGCGCAGCGAACCAGGAGGCAGGAGGCGCCCCCCCCGCTGGAGGCAGCCCCGCCTCCCCGTCGGCCGCGGGGGCTCCCGCCCCCCCTGCCGTGGCCTAACAGGCAGCCGCGGGTCGGGCATGCCTGACGCGGGCCCCTGGGAGCCCGACCCGCGCAGGCCTGGACGCCTCCTCCGCGTCCGCCGATCCAGGTGATGAGGAGGCGCTGCAGGCTGAGGGGAGTGAGGTTGCAGCTGGGGCTGCCGACCTCGAGTTTTGTGAAGGCGGTGGCCATCGATTATTCTTTGCGAGTGTCACGGAGATCGGACCGCAAGCTTGGGGATACGTGGAGGAGTCGCTGAACCGCTTCAGCTCGTTCAGCTTCGTCGAGACCCACGTGCATGCTGGCCACTTCGAGAAGTGGCGACGAGAAGCTAAGACGCTCGATTTGAATATCATGGCCAATCACGCTCGGCCCTCCAGGCGCGGCATGCTGGAGGGCACTGGTGTCGTCAACGGCACCGAGGGAGGAGAGTGGTTGATGTGTCGGCGTGGTCATCACGTGCATACGCTAGAGGGTAGTGACGATCGTGCGCTGGCCGCCCCTGGTGCTGAGTCCGCCGACGGCTTCCAGGCCAGCGTGCTCCACCTCAAGGGCAACAGGCAGGTTGTCGTGGTCACCTTCTACGGCGTGAGCGGGGTCGGCTGGCGCGGCAGCAACCTGCGGCGCTTCGGCAAGCTTGGGGCCCTGCTCCGCGCCGTCAAGGCGCCTTGGCTCGTCATGGGTGACTTCAACCTGCCGCGCCAGACCTTGCAGCAGGCTGGTTTCTTGCGCCG